CTTATATTTTCTATTATATTATATAATCTATGAAGTGTTCCATTCATAATAGATCACTGTATAATGAGGTGAGTTGGGTATTATATCATATTCTAGTCGACCACCGGTAGAGTTAGCCTGACAAAGTCGCGTCAGTTGCGCCCAACGCGGTGTTTCAAACAGTTAGTGAGGTCTGATGCCGCTCGGCCGGCGAGGGCACCACTCACGCCTAAATGTCAGACCAGTAGAGTGTGCTAAGTCTGTTTATGAAGCGCAATACTAGTACGTCTGCATTTATATACCTTGTAATTTTCTAAATATCATTTATACATAATTTACACGTATTTCAATTTAGTTTATGGATTTGCTGTACGTGATACGAATGCCCGGCGACACCGACACACACCGGCCACTAATATACTGTTTGCTACAACAGAGAAAGTGGTCAATCCAGCGTGTCGAACAGAATTTACGACAAAGAAAACCTGGGTGTACAGCCTGAGGCGTATGCAATGTACACTATCAAGTCAATACTGAACACACTTGTTATTTCAAATGCAAGACCAATATACCTGTTCCCCTGACAATAGTATGACTTTGAGTCCCCGCTGCTGCACTAGTTTACAGTGACGTCATGCATGCATATTAAATAAGCATATGACCTATGACCTTACTTAAATACACCCCCTAAACATACGACTCGAATGGTCGACCGCATGGTTTGGGTGCGTCTGAAAACAGTACTAGTAAAGGTTGTAGCCCTACTCGTAGGCTTTGCGTCCATGTTCAACTTGGTGAAACAAGCAGTAACTCAGGTGTGTATATATGCATGTCGAAAACTAATGTAAGTGTCACCGTAGATCAACGCCAGTGTGACGCAGATTACATCGAGTGGGCTGTGGGTATTTGTTGTAAGCTCATTCATTTTAAATTACCCATCGAGTTGTAATTGTGTTGCTTTCCGCGCTGGTCGCACCAGGTGATGCTCACTAAGATATCGTTTTCCCCATTGCATTGGTGTTTGCTCCAATTGGCGGCGTAGTCCGGGAGAAATAAATGAGAACTGGGAAAGTCATGCGAGTGATTTACCTTGCTCGGCCACATTAGCGTTAACTACTCCCTTGGATGAGAGCATAGAGGGACCGTAAAATACACGACCGTCGGCCAACAAACTCTGGATTGGCCATGTTTTTCAAATATAAATCAAGTTTACTAGAAGTAACACGCAGTTGAATAAATTCACAACATTCCAAGGTCTTGCTGACCTGTCGCGGACTGATTCTCTTGACCTTGTACAATTCCCCCAAAATATGCAAGAAAGACCTGTGACTGGGCAGCATGTTATTATCTCATTGTGTACGAGGATGTGGTCATGCGTAATGCATAATGATGAACACATGTTAAAAACAGGGAAGACCTAGGCTCACCGACACAAGCCATAACACCGGGGATATTTCAAATCGACATCAACGCAATAGTATATACGTGTTCGCAGTATTGTATGTATGATACGGTATGTTGTGTTGTTTGTTTTTCTGCTGTTAACAATGCGATGAGGGATTGAATTTCTTGCGGTATAGACATTTTGCTGAGCATTGTATTACCCATTAACAATTGGCTTGACCTAGTTTACAACGAATATGGAAACAAAATAACTTACATTGCACGCTATTTAATTGGTATTATATAAGGTACCGTGTGTCAGCCAGTATCGCATGTCCGCCGTATCCCATAATATATGCACTTTGCATGACCTGTCGCCACTGAAAGTGATGTGCATATGCCACCTGTATTTAAATCAGACCTATATATGTACCTTTTCTCAAACCACAGTCCATCTATAGAGGGACTGTGCTCAAACAAACAAAATGAATGCGAAAATTAATACGCATTTTTAAATGCCTCATTTTTGACGTTTTGTTTTATATTCATACGCATTATATGTCGTGTCTGTCATAAGAATTACTTATCTCATGTCTGAGAGCGCCCTCCCCTTCCAACCACAGCAACTCAGGAAAGGTTTGAGAATTTGTGTTCTGGTGGAAGAGGAGTAGGAAAAAATAAGACGCTGGTAAACATTATAGTTCCCGAGTCACTGGTATTCAAAGTATATCGGATTGACCATGTGACCCCCGTGTCACTGTGTTCTATGTAAAGTGACAGACAGTGATTTCGAGAGGTGTCAGCTAGTAAGAGGCGAACACACAACCTTGGCAATTTCCGGTGAGGCAAAGAAACACAAGGCTCTTTTTGTAGTTTTAACAAATGACATCTCCTTGCACCGAGTATATAACGTACTGAGTGCTTTGCTCAACAATGTTTTGACACAAAAGACGGAACCGGCTTACATAGTTCCTTTCACACAAACCCTTTCATTCCAATCGCCAACCTTTGTTTTGTAACTTTTTCTTTTCTTTTTAACTATCTCCAGGTGACATTTAACAGTTGAAAAAGGGGATTGGATCAGCTGCCGCACTCCCCGACGATGCCCACGTATGATATTGAGAACAGTTACGATGCATCAAGTACCGTTGAAATTCTCGAGCTCTCCAAGGCAGGCGAGAAACGGCAACAGCAGGTTGAGAACGATCCCGGATTTTACCAAGAATACGACGCCAACAGTACGAAACTACCCGTTTGGACCCAGGTAATCCGATTCCTGGCGACGATCGTAATAGTGTGTTTCAGCTTGTCCGCTAATTGGGTCAACAGCAACTTGCAATGGCAGCATTTCCCCTGGGAGCGATACTACGCCGCGGCGGCCGACAACGCGACAACAGAGTATGACGGCGTGGCGCCGGTGACGTACTCAGAAGACTCTGAACGAACGACCGGTATTGGATGGCTGACGAATTATGATATTTCCACCATTATGGCTCTACAAGGTTTCTGTATTATATTGACTATTTTATATGCAGTGGAGTTGTGTGTCATGTACACTAATTACCACTCCGCAATGCCACAGGACAGTGATGCTACCGCGGCGTGTGTTCTACGGTGTCACTTCATACAGATATTGACAACCCTACTGATGGGCGATTTGGCCATCTCGTTGATCAACTACCGGTTGACTGGCGTCGGACCAAATGGGTCTTGCCGACTTGCACTATTTCAGTACCCAAACGAGCTGAACATTGCACAAACCGTCGCCATGGCAGCCACTTTTCTTATACTAGCCAAAAAGTTAATTTATTTCTTGTGTATTATATTAGTGCCGGTACTGGGACGTACGCGATGTTTTCGTTGCACTCAACGCATTCCTGGTAATTTATATTTTTCAAGCAGAAAACATGCCACGTACATCCAGCGTTACAGGTTGTGTTATGCCGTGATTGCTCTCTGTGCCGCTGTTGCCTCGATCTACTTCTGTGTTGGGACTCTGGTAAACATTGTCGGTCGGACAGACCAGGCGGACGTGCGAATTTTGACCAGCGTGCATAAATATGGACACGTTAACGATATCGCATCCCGGCGTTCGCTACCTGTGGCAACTCTGGAAAACGCAATCCAAGCTGGGCCAGGTGGTTACGAAGTGAATATGCGATGTAACGAATTATGGAACGAAAATAGTGGTCTATCTGAGCCTCGCGTGGAATGTTCCCCGCCCGACTGTTCGGTACGAATACAACTGTTTTACAGCCCCCGAAATAACTCGTTTTGGCACCAGTTTGTCGACGGTGGCGGATCTACTCAATCGTGGACATGCTCAACAACTGTTAGTACAACGGACGGAGACCACGATCAGTACTACTATACTAGCGACGATGTATGGGTCTCGTATTATGATACGTGTTACCGCGTATGTGACGCCGTATATACAACTAGAAATAAAACTACGAACTTGAACGAGTCGTGTTTCTAAAATGCAGAAACGAACATGCATGACAGTGAATTTAAGTTAGTTCCAGGGACCATGTTGCCAGTCGATAGTTGTGTGATTACATAACACAACACGAAAATACAATTACGGCCATCTTACTGCCACAATTCAGGTCGTTTTTTTATCAAAGCCTCGTATTTTATATTGCCTCATCCTCTCGAGAGCCCAAGGCCTAATCCCGACGGTACCCATTGTTCCAAACTATGCAAGTACCACTTATACCCTGGGCAAACAGCTCGTATAAGGTTTTGTGAGTACCAAAACATAACCATGTAGACGACTTGCATCGCCACGTGTTTCAAATCAAAAAGTCAGAAAAAAGTATATACAAGTCATTATTAAAACTATATTGTCGTTTTTCCCTATAAGTGGCATCAATAAATATGTAGTTGACGCTACTCGTGTCTAGGCATGTCTCCAGCTTACTTTCTCATATCGTACGATTACCGCAAGGGCGTGCGTAACATAACGTAATAGCCTGCAGGCGAAATAGTAACGCCAGCGATATACGCGCCCATAACGACGTTGATGGTTACTGAGGGGGTACAGTAATGGAATCTTTTCTAGCGGGCGGGTCACTCTGGTTACACGTTACGTCATGATTATACGAATCACGCGATGTGTTCAGTACGGTGAATCGATCGGAGATGTGCTGTCTGACAATATACATTTGACTAATGAAGGTTATGTATACACGACCTCTGATACAAGAATGCGAGTGCTACTCTAGACTGATTTCGCTCACTGTATTTGCTTTGGCATTCTGGTACGAACATGTACTGTGACATATAGCATACAGAATAATACACCTGATCACCTTAGAGTACGACTTATGAATATTTTTATCCGGATTAATATTTGTACAATATATTTTGAATAGTGGAAGAAAACAATGTACATGTTTGGGGACCAATTGTTAAAATTAAGTTTGAACAGAGTTTGTGTGTGCCAAGTACTAATTACTGCCAATATAATTTGTTTGTATTTGAATGTAACATTCGTGTTGAGTATTAAATAAAGGGAAATACATGATGTGGTTTTAGTTTATTTCTTTAACGATATACAAGATGTGCACATAGCGTGTATATTTTACCTGTAACCACAGTCCCTGATAGAGGGACTGTGCTGTAACCTATCGTCTCCAGCCCGAGGGTGGGGGTTGGGTCGTTTCCTCCATGCCCGACTTCTACGATTTTCTACTAATATAAATACGGTCTTTGTCCAACATTAAATATTTGTGTTGGTTTCAGGTACCGACCTTTGCCTTACTCCCTATGCATTGTTAAACTTCTGAATATTGCATTAAATGATGTGGTAACATTTACGCGTCAATGATTCGCACACAATGCATGTCAACAACTTTCTCTACCTAGTGCATAGAAGTAATTTGGACCGTGTATAAAGGTCGATCACGACATAACTCCATTCTATGCGCTGTCATGAATGGTAATTATCAAACAATTGATGGGTGGGCTCTTTAGTGCAGAATTTCGAAGATTCGTGAGCGGAAAAACAACAAAGTTCTAAAAGAACGTTTCACATGAAATACCCTATGTCGTTGTACATGATGTGACGGAATGCAACGGATGTTATCTGGTGACTGAGAAGGAAATTTAACCAATGCTGAACACTTATAACAGCAAGTTTGCATCATTATGCGTTTGGTAGTTTCGAACCAAATCTCATTTAGCACAACCCAAAGTAACACGTTATCATGTCGCATTGCGCTGTCCATATAATTCACAAAATACGGTAGTTGAATTTTTTTTTTTATTTCATAGAATCATGTAACACTGGCACAAATATCTCACGAATGTCACATTTCCGTCCAAGGTAATGCAATAATGCCTGCTTTTACCAGGAAGAAATTCCTTAGTTGCATTTTTTAATATCGTTACAAATATGACTAGGATTGAGAAATTATTCGAATACAGTCCAAATCGCATTCAGGTATTAAAATCTCAGTTCTTAAACATAGGATACCTGATCTCATTCAATGTTATTTTACAACTGTGTTCCCAAGATTTTGTCTAACAACAAAACGTTGTTTCAAATCGCATTACCACCTACAGCGCCATCGCCGTCCGAATTAGACAATGAAATTGTTTTTGACTAAATGCCAGGTCCTCTGCCAGAGACGGGCCAGATTGTCTCTACCACGTTATTACGTATTCCTACAATCCAATCGTATAGATTCACACATGGGTCGCAGTGTCCGGGAATTAGATACACTTTCTCACCAAGCTGAGTATGAAAATAAATCTAGTGATTAGCAGAAAGTATTAACAAGTATTTCCCATCATTATGTAGACGATACTTCTCACGTATCTCCCAGCATTTTTACGATAATAATTATTTCCCTGGTTTCATACATTTCCCAATCATTGATGATTTTAATATCCGATTGTGCATATATCTGATTATCAACATCGTATTATATTCTCTCTCTGGTAAGTTCGTGGTCGCGTACTAGGTGATATAAAGTAAATCTGTCATCTGTATTGGTGTCCAATCATTTTTTTTTTCACCCAACTATCGACGATTAGGATATAACAAACCACATTTACCTTGTACGGCCCCGGTGGTACAATGATACCATGTTCGTCTCCCCCAAAGAAATATACAAGATCTTTCCATGGATAAACCTGCAAGAAAACAACATTATTTGCTCATTTAATGGAAGTAATCGCGAATCTGCGCAGCGTATTCGCACCCATTTATCTAAGAAAAATGATGATCTTGTTCAGATGATCGTTGTCATCTAGGTATCTTTTTTTATGCGGATAAAAGTGATAACATATGAAAGTATAACAAGAAAAGAGATGATTATTTCGTCCACTTGAAACATCTATTTATTTCAATATGTAACATTATTCTGGGGTACACACTAACAATAAATTTATTCATGCCGTTACAATGCAGTAATTCGGAGACACTGCAGCAGCCACGGTAACAAATATTAGAATGAGTATCCTACCTCTGGCGGACCTGAGTCCGCTCCAATAGCTTTAATTCCGGCGTCTAGAATCGCTCTCGCCATGGAGCCACCCTGTAATAACCCACACAGCATAATAATCAATAATATAGTTTTCACGCAGCAATATCCAATAAGGTTAAATATGGTATTGTAACTATACATCAATCTGGTTGTTACAAAATATAACGCTCTCGTATTCCAGCGATGCACAGTAGTTCGTGACACTGGCTTATAAAATGTCATATAAAACGTGATTCATAATTTAGGTGTACAAAAATTTCACGTCAAGATTGAATTTATAGCGCTTTCTATTTAATTTTATACTTATATTTATTATGTTAGATTAAACAAGCGTTAGATTTGTAATAAACTTTACAAAAATAAACTGGTTTTGAAATAATGGACGGGAAGGGTAAATAGGTATTTTTTCTAATATTACCCATACCAGTAAAGCAGTTAAATCATCTTCAAGTTCATTTTTGTTAAATTCAACAATTTGATGACGTGGTTCAATGTTTGAGTTTAAAATCTATAAAAACACTCTAGATTGTTATATTAAAAAAAGATACTTGACTCGTTGTTCTATATGTGAAATAACCGTGTTTTTTCAAGTTCTTAGATCATTAATGTGAAGTTTGATTTATCTATCAAAGCTGCTTTTTTTTAAAAATTATTATAATTATTAATTACTGGAACTGTATGGTCACCGGACCATACCCTAGTTGATTATCAAACCACTTATTGAATTCAATATGATAGTCAGTATTATTTAAATTCCTGCATGGTTAAGGCACTATTTTTTAATTCTATTTTAACTTATATATATTTTAAATTACTTTAGCGCCACATTTAAGTGTGAAATAAATATACTATGAATTAGTTGAAGTAAATTGAACTATACTAGTAATACTAATAAGAGTAATTTAATTGTAGTCTGAGAACCATAATTACCTGCAGGCTATGCACGGTGGATAAAACAAATAAACTTTGTTCAAATTCGAAAAACTGTTTACCATCATCTCCAATATTTCGACAATAATCGACGTCCATAAATATATAAGAACCACACTGGAATTCATCTAAAACTGAAGAAGATAGTAGGCACTGTTGAATGGCGCGTTTGTTGACGAACATAGGGTATAACACTGAGCAAGATAACTTAACCGTACCTACGGACACGGCTCTTAGAAAAAAAAAATGTTCACAATCTGCTCGAATTAACCCATCCTCACTAGAAAATTAATAACGACAAACACCTTACCTCCAATTCCTCCTTCATATTTGAATGTACCCGTACCAGCGCCAGTGACGTATTTACACTCGATCCCAGCATCAGATAAATTCTAGGACATAAATAGCAATTATGAGTATACATACATACATATGCAGTTTGGCATTGTTCTAGTACATGAGTTGTTGAACATGTATTGTGATTCCATTCAGCTGCTTTCAGTAATAATTCAAGACAAATGAACCGCAGAAATATCGAGAATATGACAAATTATATTTCATTTAATTAAAATTCATGTTATTGGTTATTATAAATATATTATTGGCGTGCATACGGAGTACATTTGTTATGAAATATTCTTAATATATATCTGAATTTAATTGTCAAAATCAGTTGTTTTCAGCTCCCATCAAAAGAATTTCAGTGTCGAAAACGGAAAGTCTTTATCGTAGTGCTGTATGTGAATTATCGACGAATCTTCTATGTGTCAACTCTAACCGATTCATACCATGTCACCATAAACCGAGTTGGCTTCGAAAAATATGATATTACATGAGGTTGTATGCATGCTTGTTATTTTACCTTGATAGCAATCTTTGCTATGTCCATTGCATCGTGGGAAGCAAACGAACGCATCGCGGACTCCCTGATATGTTGATTGCGTCTAAAAAAATAATGCCCATAAAATAAACAAAAAATATCGAGTTTGTCACTGTATGCGAATGTATCTTTGTATCAGAATAGTGAAGCGTAGTATTTGACATGTACCTACCCTGCATAGCATTGTAGTCCAACAAACGTGATATTTGGTAGTTCCTTTGCAAGTAATACCAATGGCACCACTTCATCTGGTTCAACACCACACCTAAAATTTAAACAATGTGTTTATTATAATAAAAAAATATAATATCATGATCGTACTCTAAAATGTCGAACCTCTTTTTACTGACTGTGGATTTCAATCGTGGTGTTTCACAAAGAAATGTAAGTCACCTCCCCCCTAATTGAATCGTTGGTATCAAAAGTACCTGTACATCTTCAGATTAACCTCAACCAATACATCGATGTTTGTTTGTTGATCTTTTGCTGCCGCAGACACCTGTCGAAGGTTTTCGATCGAATCAACGCATACTCCAATGCGAGCTTTACTGGCCAGAGACGCAAGTCGTTTCAGTTTTGTTTTCCCATATATCTAGAATCATGAAATGTTATATTTAATAAACTAAATTCGAATATTTCGAATGTATTAAAAAAACAATTCTGTGCATCATTACTGTGTTAGAGAATACAAATTGTTCAGAGATAGTTCGGCCTGATCGTATGATTTTACAAAGGTCAACTACTTCATTTCTAAACATTACCTCGTTGGTGACAAGCACGTCTTTTATACCGCCATTGACCATCGCCTCCGCCTCAGTGACTTTTTGAACACATACTCCAACTGCTCCACGCTGAATCTATATGACAACATACGTTTTGACAATTTAGTAACATATAAACTGTGGGAAAATGAATGAATGAATGAATGAGATGTAGTCACTTATATATTAAAACTTAATTTTAAAGACTAGTGTACACACCATTGTTTTATGCTGTGGATATTATAATTTTTTATTTTCAGAGGAACACACATTTTAAGTGTAAGCACGAATACAAATTGATTGAAAATGTTAAGTGTTAGAACTAGCATATCACCAAACAGTTATCCATCTTTATAAAGAATGTCTTCTCATTTTTCTGTTTTTCTGGACATAATTTGTGACTAGACAGTGAACAAATGAATTCAATACTAGAGCCGTCATGAAAAATAGTATAGGGAAATTGTTGCCCGAAGGGGGTGCAAATTAGCAAACATCTCTGTATATCTTAGGCACTCAATAGGAAATGTTATGGGGGTGAAGCGTGTGGGGGTACTTACCCGAAATTTAGGTGGGAGTCCTCTGCAGTCAGTTGCAAATTAGACCCAACACATCGACGTTGAGGGCGCATTTTGGTTAAAATTTGCCTAAATGTTTGGGGTCAAAACAGCAGCTCATGCCCGTATACTTCAACTATGGGTGTACCCCCAGACATTACATGACTAAAGACAATATGTCATTTGCCGTCTGTCATCCCAGCCCGCGACAAAAATAGCATGATTTAATGGGTTGACCATTTCCGTGGAATCAACAACAGTGGCAGGACGATTTTTTTAAAAGAATACATACGAGTGTCGGGATGGTGATAACAAAATACTAAGCCACGCCGGGCTATAACAGTGATATAGTCAACATATAACACAACTAGGAATCTTCCCATGCCCGTCCGAGATTTAAATGACACATCCCTTATAATTTGATACGAAATATTACCTGCATCCTTGCTATTGCGGGACATTTGTGGCTCTTGGCGTGCGGACGCAATTTGCAACTGGGGAATTCCTTCATGAATTCTGTCATCTTATCCATGTTTCTCTCCATTTTATCAAGGTCAACAACCAGTGCTGGAGTGTCAATGTCTTCGACTTTGTCTCCAACTACACACGGTGGTCTCAAAGTTACCGTCAGTCCCTCGTCGTTCGATGCAGCCATCGCACACTAGTGAAGCAAGCTGTAGTATTGTACTAATGATATATATATATATAAATCGGTATAAATTAGTCAGGCACTCATCTCACACTGGGATCATAGTACTAATGGGGTTTTCATGAATGACTATATTGGCATTTGACCTGATTTCTATAAATAAGTCGACAACGTGCAAACGCACATGCTAGTTAGCGCAAACTCTGTTACAACTGAGGTAAATAAGACACACCTACTGTAGTGGGACTGCACCAAGACAAATAACTGGAAAATACCGAGATTAGAGCACACAAATATACACGAATTAAGCAAACGTCCGCTCGCTACGTTGTAAACACAAATCACATGTCAGTTTCACCTATGACCCGGGTGAAGCACGCCCTCAAACGGCGCTCACGTGAGAAAAAAATGCATTTGTATACGAATATGCAAGCTATATTCGCCGTACCACAATATCTACGCATATATCTGAGCGAGATTTTATTGAATATTGAAGCAGTTTTGAAATGGCGTACTAACACATCAATGGTTGGTCAATGATAATAGAAATAATAATAAAGTTTTTCTGTCAGTATTATATTTCTGACAAGCCAATGGAAAGCGTTCCTCATCTTCAATTAAATTTTCGTTACCTTTTTTGCGTATTCTTTTACTGAAGTTTTTGGTTGTGTGTGTCTATTTTTCCAGAATTTTGGTTGCTAATTATAAATTCAGTAAACCATTTCCTCTCCTCGCAGTCTAGATATTCAAATATGTCTCTAACTTATAGTTTTTTAGTTAGTTTACATTTTCTGTTTAAAATAATTTCTTTTCATAAATTCTTTAAAGATTATTAAGATGTTATTGATTTGACTTTTTTGTTTTCCATTAAGAGATTCTTCTTGCATAAACTTTAGTTAGTGTTCTTGGCTGATTTATTGGTAACGGTTTCACAGTATATGAACTGTACACATGCTCCGGGCGACACTACATGGTAACCAATGGTGTAATTTGACAACAAGCAATGCCACAGATCAGTATCCAAAACCACATAGTGGTCAAATTAATTGTATTGCATTTAAACATTTGTATTTCATATTATTGAGGAGTTTTTGTTCTAGGTAAGCATGCTTCATCTGTGAGTTTCTTTGTGCGCAGCCAGTATTTTATTTATAGTTACTTCTGGTCTTTGCTCTTCATAGTTACCTTTATTCATTTGCAAAATGTGTTTACAAAATTTAATATTTTGTTTTCTGTTGTCGTGTTGTTAATATCTAATGCCCATATTTCTGATCCATAAATTATGTTCGATAAAAATGTTTTAGCTCAATGGCTTATCTAGAATGTGAATTGATTTGACTGCATTTACTCCCCAAATATGGCATTGCATCATTGAAACTAGCATTTTTATTGTTCCCGTAATTGAAAGGATATTGTTGCCTAAATGTGTATGAACTAAAAATGACAACGTGTGTTTTCGACAGTACTTATTCAGTGTATTTAACATTGTCTGCAGACTAGCCTGGATGGTGAAAATAAATGCTAGATCATCGGCATTCAGAATTTAGTTAACTATTGTATTATTTAGCAATGAAGAATCTGTTTAAACATTGTACAAATTGTCTTTTAAATCAGTAATAAAAAGAGTGGGACTTTATCTTTCTTATAAATATGTATTATGATACTCAAATATCTGCGAAGATATAAACTAAACTATACAATTTGACTAGTGGAATAATTTAATAATATGAACTATTTCTTTTTAAATTTCTAAACAAATGCCATCTATACCTGGTGCTACATTAATCGTATTATTGCCTCACTGTTCTATTATCTAAATGACCATATGGCTTGTTCATTATATTTTACTGGAAATCACTGTTAACACTAATTACATTATGTGTTACATAATAGTCCGTCCATTTAGTTGCTGTAATGAATGTTCACTCTGTTTGTCCACATCTTTCATACGGTAATGATGTTGAATTTGTTTCTTTTGGCTAATTTTACTTTTGAATAAAATGTTTGTCTAAGTTGCATATTAAATAGAATTATTTACTAATTTTGCCGACGCATAGTATCACGTTTACTTGAATTGTATTGTTTATCAAACCATTTGAGATTCCTTTTTTTGTACATATTTTTATTGTATTTAAATTTATTAAACATGCCGGTTATTGATGCTTCTGATAATTGAATACATTTGTATGTAGCTATAGTAAGTTATCATGGCTAAAATCTCGGAAATCTGTCGAAATAAACTGTTTAATTTAACTGTTTCATTTCCATATTCATGGTATTAACTATAATAGGATATGTTCCTCGTTTTGTTCAGGAGTAGTGATGGGAAGCATGTGAATCCATGTACTTTAAAAGTATTTCAAATTTGAAATAAATCAATTGTTGCTATGCCACAATCTACAACACCGTTACCATTCAAGTAATAACAGGTGTACTTACCGTATATAACACCAGGTATTCTGCCAAATAAAATTCGCTTATTGCTAAGTTTACCGTGACGCAGATTAAAGTTTTTGTAATTTTTGTCCATGATAAAGCGATTTAGTTCAGTGTCAACTGTGTGATTCTGAGGTAACGGTACATGTCTTGCACTATCACTTTGGATGAAATAGGGAATTAAACCAGTCCTTGCACCCCCATAATAAGAATTGAAGCCTGTGAATTTATTCCACTTATCAATGTTTTCAACAGCTCAAAGAATGTGTCCGATTTGTTTGAATTTGATGGAGCATTAAAAACAAAACAGATGTAGAGATCCGTAGGAAGATTTGACCGAATTGATCTAATATCATCAATATTGTGTCACAATGCACAACCAAAAGTAAGAAAGGTTCGTGTAACTGTAAATTAGAATTAGTAGCACTCGACCCACAATGCCGTTTGTACCCAATCCAAATTACTCTTGTTTTGCCATGTTTCAAATGAAGACCTGACATTATAGCAAATTTGTCTGTACATACAGTTGCGGATCAAGCAAAATGTAATGGGGGGGGGGGG